GAGGCCCCCAAGACCGCCCGAAGACGGCCCAAGAGGCTCCCAAGATGCCCCCAAAACGGCCCAAGAGGGCGCCAAGACGGCCCAAGAGGCGCCCAAGACGGCCCAAGAGGGCCCCAAGACGGCCCCAAGAGGGGGACCACGAACCGAAAAGTCTAGCCTTTCGCCCCAAGAAGCTCCCAGGAGGCCCCCAGAGCCCCCCAAGAAGCCCCAAGAGGCCCCCAAGAGGTTCCCAAGAGGCCTCGTAGGACCCCCAAGTTCGCAAAAAGCTCTTCACACCAAGGCTCCCAAGAGCGAACGGTGACGTACACAAGCTGATAAGACCAAGGCTCCCAGCAGAGAGCGGTGACGTAACAAGTTCCTCACACCAAGGCCCAGCCAAGGCTCAGGAACGGGCGGCAACGCAACAATCTCTAAACACCAAGGCTCCCAAGAGCGAGGGGTGACGTAACAAGCTCTCAACGCCAAGGCTCCCAGTACGAACGGTGGTGTGAGTAATTTCGGTTTTCTGTTTCTGAAGCGCTCTTTCCGTTTCTGTGCCGGGCCAGGTCTAATGGCTTTCGGCCCAGCCCGCCACCGTGCCTGGGTTGTGGGTCTGATACCTCTTGGATGTTCACTGGGATCTCGTCGAGGCTTCTCGGGCTGGAGGCAGCTTGAAACCTTTGGGGGGCTGGTGTGGGGCCTCTTGGGGATTATTTTGGGCCTTTTGGGGCCTTGTGGGAGCCTCTTGGGACCCTCTTGGCGGCCTATTGGGAACCAAGGCTTTCGGTTCCTGCTCCCTGTCTTGCGGTCCTTTTGGGGCTGTCTTGGGCGAGTCCTGGGCCGTCTTGGACGCCTCCTGGGCCTCTGGCGCGGTCTTGGAGCCTCTTGGGGGACGTCTTGGAGCCTCGGAAGCTCGAAAGGATCTCCCGAAAAACATTGAAACACTAACGGACAATCAATGACTGTGGCCTGAGAGGCCTCGACGAGATCCCAGCGAACATCCGAGAGGTCTCAAACATTCAACTCGGGCACGGCGGCTGGATGGTAAGATATGCCTCCAGCGAGGCTCAGATATGCAAAGCTTAATGGGAAGCCATTGGAACCATGTGGCCGACTTCGGAAACCCTGAGCCCAAAAAGGTTGTCGTCTCTTGGAAAACAACTTTTTAACTCCTGCCGTCTTCCGCCAGCCTTCCGCCGGCTTCCTTCCGCCGGCGGAGGCGGCCTCGTTTTACTTCCGCCGACCTTCCGCTGCCTTCTGCCGAGGAAGATATGACAACTCCTGCGATCCTCGAAGGCGAGGCCCTCCTTGGAGCGCCCCATGTAGTGCTTGCTTCCGATACTTTCGGCCGTAGACCTCCTGGCGGGAAGATTGCGAGAGTCCCGACGCCCCGCCCACGGCGGCCCCCCAAAACTGCCCTCTAGCAGGGCCCGGAGACGGCCCCCAGGACTGCCCGATACCCCCCCCAAGAGTTGGCAAGACGGTCCAAGACAGCCAAGACTGGCCGAAGACACACACAGGCGGCCCAATTTCGGTTCAACCGAGCCTGCTCGAGAAGAGCTCGGCAGAACCGAGACGACTCCACGGGCCGTCCAAAGGCCCCCATCGGGCCCCGCAGGCTCCCGCAAAGATCTCCAGCGGCCTCCGGGGACGCCCAACAGAAGCTTCCAGAATGCCGTCAACGGGGAGGGGGGGGATGGGGTGGCGGTGGAGGAGGGGGGGGAGGAGGGAGGAGGAGGAGGACGAAGAGGAAAACGGGGAGGAGGAGGACGAGGAGGCGGTGGAGGAGGCGGTGGAGCAGGAGGAGGAGGAGGACGAGGAGGAGGAGTCTGCCCCTGGCACGCCGCGGTCCGTTCGGTGCCCAGGACGCGCGCGTGGTCCTACGTGGACAACCGTTCCCTTAAGGCCGCCGCGGCGCTTCATCGGGACCGAGCTTTAGCGATCACTGCGGAGATCGACCGGCGGCTCGGCTTTTCGGAGGACGTTCGGAAGCGGCAGGTTTGGTCGGGCACCCAGAGCGCCGAACACTTAGGAGTGCGGGCCGTTGTCGGCGACGCCGCGACCTGGCCCCAGCTGCCTGAACCTCGGGACGGGTGGGACGAGATCCGCTCCCAGGTGCGCCGGCTCCGCATGGTCCCCGGCGGGCAGCGGATCAGGGAGCTCGCGGTCCTGATGTGCGTCGCTCCTAAACATCGGTGGTCGGCTCCGTTCTGCGCGATCCCGCCAGGTGATCTGATCGCGCTCACGCTTCGGTCTGTTGTCTGGACTCGCTGCACCTGGTGGTGCGCTCGGCGATGGTACGCCGAGCGGGTTTCGTTGCACCCTCTCTTCGGTGCGGCGTGCACTGTGCTGAAGGCGGCTCGGGGGGTTCCCGCGTCGCGGTTGTTCTCGGTGGCGCTCTCGGAGCATTCCGGCGTGTTCGGGCTGCTCCCGGTCGCGACCGGGTCGCTTCCAAAAGACGTCTGGCTGCTTCCGGCCCCGGGGCTCGACCCTCGGGCCGCGGCGGCGGTCGCCGCTGCTGCCGCCGCTGACAGCCGCGAAGCGAAAACCCGGTACCCTGGGACCTCCCCTCGCCCCCCCCCAGAAGGCTTTCGACGCCTCATTCGATCGCGTCGCGGTCAGCACGTTCTCCAGGAGTGCGCCCTGGCGGCGCTCCTTCGCCCCCGGGCGGCGCTTGGGCCCCCGCCGCGGCACGACGAAGAGAGGATCGGGGAGATTGATCTGGCTGCCCAGAGCGCGCCGCCTTGGGCCCAGTTCCGGCGATCGTTAAGCCGATACGACACGAACCTCCTCGCCGTCTGGAGGGGCGGGGCCGTGTGCACGCCGACCCGCAGGCACGGCGGCGCGTGCGTTTGCCCGTTCTGTTGCGGGCACACCCAGGCGTCGGCTCGGCACCTCTGGGTCGAATGCTCGCGTTTTGCTGGACGTCGGCTCGAACTCGGGGAGAAACTGCGGGTCGCGCCGGCCTGGTGGGGGGCCCAGCCCCGCGTCACGGCGAAAACGGAGTGGATCACTAAGGCTGCCGGGGGCTCGATTCAGCGTCGGGCTCAGCTGCAGGTGATGGCGTGCCGCCTCGGCATCGCCATCATGCAGGCGCTCGCTGGCCTCGGCGGGTGGGCTTTCGGGGACGCGCTGTCTCCGCCTGGGGCCCACCTGGGTCTTCCCCCCCTTCCTTTCCAGCGGGCGGCGGCCTGGCGGGCGGTGGGACGGACTTCGACGACGCTGACGACCTCCCTCCCCCTCCTGGTGGTGGTGGTGGTGGTTCCCTGGGTGCTGACAGCCGATCTAATTAGCTCCAATCCAGTCCTGTGGTCCATCGGCCCTTTTCCCGCTTCGCGCCCGGGCCTTCTGCGGCCCGGAAGCTTCCCAAGGTTTGAACAGCAGCTAGGGCAAAGGCACCCTGCTGCTTTCATTTCTCCGGACGAGGAGGAGGAAGAGGAGGAGGAGGAAGAGGAGTAGGAGTCGGAATAGGATGATGCTGATGATGATGATGATGATGATGATGATGATGATGATGAGGAGGAGGAGGAGGAGGAGGAGGAGGAGGAGGAGGAGGAGGAGGAGGAGGAGGAGGAGGAGGAGGAGAAGGAAAGCCCGCAGATGGCGGCCCAGAATGGCTGACTGGCCTCGCGGCTGGTGGGGCCTCTCAGTCGTAGTTCTGGAAGTTCTGGGAGTAGTTGCAGGCTGAGTTCTGGGAGTTCTGGAATTTTTTCCAGTCGGACATGCGGGTGGTACTTGAACGCGGTGGGCCGCGATCCTCGCTGCAGTCACAGCCGCGCAAAGCGGCTGGACATGCGCGCCAGGCCGATGGCGAAGGATGTTGTGGACGTGGTATAGCCGTGCCCGCCGCGCAACGGTCTGCGGAAGATCGTTCTCCCTGTCGTCATCCATCTGGTACGCCGCTCCTTCGCCGAGGCCGATTCTGTGTAGCGCAGAAGAGTTTGCGAATGATCGCGTCGCCTGGCAAACTGCCCACCAAGCGCCGCGACAAGTGAAGTAAAGGGCGATCTTATCGTTAGCGTCCTCGCAGCCGAACCGGCAGGGCAAACGTCGATGACCAACGTGCATCCTGAAGGACGTAGGCCAGGCACTGGCCAGCGTGCGGTAGTTTGCCGATCAGACGCCTGGGGAGGCGACCGAGAGTTGCTGTCGGAGCCTCCGCCTCCGATCCGCAAGATCAGGAGGTAGTGCGAGCTGGGGCCACCATGTTTTGATCCTTTTCGTGATGGTGACGTGGAACATCTCAGGGTAGATGACTGTAGTGGCCGCCTCCCAGTGAATGCACTGAGGCCGAGGTTTACGATCGTGCGGGCGCAGCGAAGCTGCGTGGGAGGGGGCGGTCAAACGGTTCCCGGCCCCATGCCTCGACGGATGATGATGATGATGATGATGATGATGATGATGATGATGATGATGATGATGATGATGATGATGATGATGATGATGATGATGATGATGATGATGATGATGATGCTGATGACGAGGAGGAGGAGGAGGAGGAGGAGGAGGAGGAGGAGGAGGAGGAGGAGGAGAACGGGGGAGCAGGAGGAGATCGAAAAGGCGGACAAGGAGGGGGTGCCTAAGACCCCGGGCTAGTCCAGACGGGGCACCGAGTCTGAGCGGGTAGCCATGCTCACCTCCCGCCTGCTGCGCTGCCACGTTGACGGGGTTTGCGGCGGGCCCGAGGGACGCCGAGTGGGGTGGGGTGGGGGGCCCTGGCCTGGGTGCCCCACCGAGCCCAAGGTGCTCCGCCTTTTGCACGGGGGGCCCGCCCGCCGATCTCTCGGCGATGCATCGCCGATTTACGAGCCGATGCTCCTCCGTCCTGAACTGGGTCAGGAGGCAACTTCTGGGACAACTTCGTGAGAACGACTATGGGCTATGAAGCCCCAGTAAGAAGTCATTGAGATATCTACCAGCGCCGATGCTGACTTGACCCTCCCAGCGGTGACATCCGAGACCAGGGCTCCCCTGCCGCCCCCGCGGAGGGCAGGTGTACATGCCGCCTTCGTTTTTTGTTTATCTTTTTTCTGGGGCACGCCGACCAATCTCTCGCGCTCCTCTCCGCCGCTGCCCTCCTCCCAGGGCCTCCAGGGAATGGCGGCGGGCTGGCGTGCCCGCGCGGAACGAGGACCTGCAGGCTACGCCACCCGGCGCACCGAGCACGGGCGCTCCGCCATCGGCGAGCGACGGGGCGGGCGCCGCTGGGCGCAGCACAGCGCGCCTCGCAGCAGGGGCCAATCTGCTGCGCGGTTGGACCCGGACAGCAGTCGGGGGCCGCAAGAATGGGATAGGGGGCCAGAGTGCGTGCGTGCCCTGGAGGACCCCCGGAAGGCGGAAACGACAGCCTCCAGCTGGGCTCGTTCGGCCCACATAGCTGCACCAGCATAGAAACTTTCGGAGGTCCGCGCGGACTTCTCGGATCGGAGCGCGGGCCCCCTGGCGGCGCCTCCGGCGCCGTCCAGGGAGGGGGGGGGGGGGGTTCTGGCGCCGACACAGGAAATCCGCGCGGACCTTCGAAAGCTTCCGCTCCCGGCGATTATTCTTCCTCGGCTGACCCCACCCGGGGCTACCCCCTCCCCCCCAGGAGCCACGACGTGAGGCGACCGGCTCGGGTGGGACACCTCGAGCTGGACTCGGCGATGCGTCGCCGATGGATCGGCGATAGGCCCCCGGCAGCAATGAAGGGACCCTGGGACACACAAACAAATACACACAAATCAAATAATTCCCCATATGTTCCCACATTTTCTAGGTTTCTGTCTCCCCCCCCACTTCCCATATTTTCCTATATTTTCTGGGGAATCGACGATTCATGGTGTCTGTGTGCTTCTTTCCCTCCGGCAGCAAGTCCTTCCGCTGCGGGGCGGGGCGGGGCGGTGGCAAATCCGCACGCTCCTGGGCGGGGTGGGGCCCTCGGGCTCTCCTCTCGGCGAGCAAAGGGCCGGCTGCGGGTCGACGCGCCCCGCCCCGAGCCCAGCCCTCCCTGCCGCTGCCCCGGACCAAGACGCTCCGACGCCATGTGTTTTTCCTCTCACAGTGCCGATTCTCAGAGGCCTCGGCTCACTCCCTCCTCCTCCTCCTCCTCCTCCTCCTCCTCCTCCTCCTCCTCCTCCTCCTCCTCCTCCTGACTTCTTTTCCTCCTGGACAGCGTTTTTTTTGGGCCGCAGGGCCCGGCAATGGATATCCGCATCGAGGAAAACCGCCCGCCATCTCTTCTTCTTCACCCCCCCCGAGGGGCAACGAGATGGGGGGACTGGCATGGGGCGGGGGACATCGGCCTGGAATCCGCACGTTCCTGGGCAGGGTGGAGCCATCAGACCCCTACCAGCGATCAGTGGGCGACTGGGGGTCGATGCATCCCCCCCTGCGGTCGGACCCAGGACAGAAGAACCTCCTCCAAGAACATGAGAACCTCCGCTGGCCAAAACACACACAGAACATCCAAGGGTACACTCCTCAAGATGCACAAGACATCCAACAATCACGAACTCGACCCATTCCCCGGGACCACTTTTTCATCCCGAGTCGTTTTTTTGACGGTCCTGTGTCCCGGTAGGGGCCCGCAGGGGCTGGGACGGTCCTGGGGCCCAGTAGAGGGGTTCATCCTGAATCGTTTTTGGACGGTCCTGGGGTGCGATGCAGGCCATTTTGGACGGTCATGAGGCGAAAAATCTTCCGTCATGATCTTTTCACATCGCTGGCTTGGCTCGCCTTACAATCCGATCGGGGCCCCCGCCTGCGGGGGGAGGAGGAGGAGGAGGAGGAGGAGGAGGAGGAGGAGGAGGAGGAGGAGGAGGAGGAGGAGGAGGAGAGGAGGAGGAGGAGGAGGAGGAGGAGGAGGAGGAGGAGGAGGAGGAGGAGGAGGAGGAGGAGGAGGAGGAGGAGGAGGAGGAGGAGGAGGAGGAGGAGGAGGAGGAGGAGGAGGAGGGGAGGAGGGGGAGGAGGAGGAGGGGGCCTGGGATCCTCGCGAGCTCTGCCTATCCCCCCGTTGCCCATGGCTCCCGACGGCCGCTCCGCGGCGCACCCCCGCCAGCGGAGCGCGGGCGGCGGCGGGGTCCCCCCTGGCCTCCGTGGCGCGGGGTCTCCGCCCCGGAAGCCACGAGGCCCAGGGGTTCTCGCGACGACGACGACGACGACGACGACGACGGCGACGGCGACGACGACGACGACGACGACGGCGGCGACGGCGACGACGACGACGACGACGACGGCGACGGCGACGACGACAACCGGCGGCAGGGCGCTGGGCCGTCGAGCGGGGCACGGTGGGCACAAGCGCCAGCCAAGGCGAGAAGAGATCCCGCTGTACAGTCGAGGTGCTATCAGAAGGATCGCTGGATAAGGAACGAAGCCCCTTTTTGGCGCCAGCAGCGCCTGGGTGCACGAGGAGGGCTATACTAACAACCATAGAGATCCAGCTTCGGCGGTGAGCGAGGGGGGAAGGGAGAAGGAGAAGGCCTTCTGATAAGGTGGCGGGGCTTCCCAGAAGCGATCCAGCCCTCCAAGGAGTTGTCGGTGTCTTCGGGGAAGGCTTGGACAACTTCTCAGAAGGCCAAGGGACTTCTGCGCCTTCTGAGAAGGCCCGCCGCTTCTCACTTCCCTCCCGGGCTCGCCGCCGACTGCTATACGCATGACGACGACGTCAGGATACGATCGGCTCGGGATGCGTTCCAGGAGCTCTGAAGCCTCTGGCGCCCCTCGCTTCTGGAGTCCGTGCGCAACACGTGGAAGCATGAGGGACACTTGAAATCTTTGGACGTGTCATTCCCACGACGTCTTGCCGCCCTGAGTGAGACACCTGTGGGCACATCCTCCGTCAACTCTGAGCTTCGCCCGGACTGCCCCAGGGCTCTGCGGCCCCGCTGGGAGATCTGCATCCGTCGTGGGGCACCCCTTGGGAGGCCCATCTCTGATGCGATGTGCCTACTGTGCCCGCTCGCGCGCTTGGGCGCAACGGGCTAGAGGCCTCCTAGATGGGGTCGGAGGCTCACGCCGCATCACCGATGCATCGGCGATACATGGTCGATGCATCGGCGATGCATCGACGACATCGGCGATGCATCGGTCATGCCAGCGCGGTGACAACTGGGCTCCACCACATCGACCCGCATCGCCGATGCATCGGCGATACGGCACGTTTCTCCGAGCTCATCTAGTCGGACCGCAGCTGAGAGGCCTAGGCGCTGATCAGATGGTCGGGGGCTCGTGTGCCCTGGACGGCGCCCGGTCGGGCGGCGCGGTCGCGTCAGACGACGCTCTGGGCGACACGGCGGCGCCCGTCTCTGGCCTCCGGAAAGAGAAGCTCCGGGTAGCGGGAGAGGCCCCAGCCGCATTCACCCTGCTGGGTTTCGAGGGGCGCCGAGACTTGGCGCTCAGGATGGCCTCTTCCCTGTCGTGGACGAGCTGCTCCGTCTCGTGTGCGAGGCTCCCCACGTCCTCCCTGGGCTGGAGGGAGCCGTCGTCGCCGATGGTTAGGGGAACAAAGGGGCGGCACAGACATTAGCTTTCGGATGTCTGGGTGGAATTCTCGGTCCCAGACCCCGACGTCGCGATTTTTTCGCAACGTCGACCCCCAGAGGTCTGGACCATGTCCCCAGGATCGGTTTTTCATCCTGAGTCGTTTGTTGACGGTCCCGAGGCCAGGCGAGGGCCCACAGAGGCCGAACGTAGTGAAAGCCCTCCCGTGGTGTTTTTTTCACGGCGCGAGGGGGTCTGGGGTTAGAGGATCACACGTGCGGCACAGTCACAAGTTTCCCCTGGCGCGCGGAGCGCGACAGGGGCGGCGCCGAAGGCGCCGCCATGGGGGCCCAACGCCGACCCAAAAGAAATCCGCGCCGCCTTCTGAAAGCTCGTGCTCGTGCCGGCTTATCCAGGTCATCTAACTTCGCGCATCGAGCCCAACTTCGTTGGCAACTCATGGGGGCCTCCCATACCATCTTGTCGGTTCTTGCGAAACGACGCCGATCGACGCTAAATCGACGCTAAATCGGCGCTACCTCATCGCCTCCCAGACGCTAATCGACGCTAGAGACGGAATCCTACCAGCCCTCTGGGCGTCGGTGGTTTAGAGAGTTTCCTCTTCCACCCCTCCTTCTTCCCCTTCGGGGAGGGCTTTACCCCTCCCCCTACCCCCTCCCCTGGACCTGGACGGGGGGGGTCGCGAGGTGTCAGGGCGTCCAAAACGGCCTCGGCGAGGAAGCCAAAATCATTTGTTTTACTAGGATTTTGGCCCCATTTGGCCTCTTGGGGGGGGGAAGATGGCCCAAAGATGGCCCCCAAGGCTCCCAAGGGTGCCCCAAGAGGGCCCCAAGAGGTGGCCAGGAAGCCCCAAGAGGCCTCCAGGATGCCCCCAAGAGGCTCCCAAGAGACCCCCAAGAGGCCCCAAAAGACCCCCCAGAGGCACCCAAGATGCTCCAAGAGGCCTCGGCGAGAATGTCAAATCATTGACTTTCCTAAGGTTTTAGCCACATGTTGGCCTCTTGGGGGGGGCACTGATTAAGATGATGACCTCTAAGATGGCTCAAGATATCCCAAGATGTCTCATAATGGCTTCCTCTGTGTGCTGCCCACTTCCCTGATCAAGGCAATTCCTCTGGGCATCGTTTCTGGATGGGCTAGTGGGGATTCGCGAAGCGTCAACACTTGCGAGACTGCACACGGCTCTCGTGATTTGCTACCGAACCCAACGATGCGCGACGCGCGGTTGCCTTCACGCACTCGCCGCACCTCCTGGGGGAGGGCAGGTGTCTGCCCCAGAGCGCGACGCGCGAAGGGCGATCCTCTTCGCGCCCGCGGGGGTGACCTGGGTCTTTTGTTCCCCTGATGGTGAAGACCTCGTCTGCCCCCGCCATGAGAGTCGGGGAGTTGCTCGTGATGATGCAGGTGCGGGGGCGGCGCCCATGCCTGTGAGCCCTGCTCTTCTCCAGGCCCCTGTTCTCCACGTACTCCCGCAGGCACTCCATCACGCCGAAGGCGTCGTCGATGGTCAGCGCCTGCAAGGGCCTGTCGAGCACGAGTACGGGAGGGTCCGATATGAGGGCGCACGCGAGCTGGATCTTCGCGCGCGCGCTGGCCGAGATGCTCGACGAGATCCGGTGAAACGCGACGTCTGACGATCGGCGGCGCGCGAGGGGCGACCCCGAGCGGGAGCGAGCTCTGTGGCGCGGCCCCCGGATCGCCGCGTGCGGTGGCTCTGTGGCGTGCTTCCCGTGTGCGGGGGGGTGGGGCCCACGCGCCCCCGAAGGGCGCGCGCCCGAGGATCGCTCCCGCGGAGGGCCCCTCCCTGCGCGCGGCCGAGATACGCGCATGCTGCGGATGAGCGACCCCGTGGTCCCGCTCGGCTGCAGGGCCTTCTTCGCAGTGCCGCACACGTCCTCTCGGATGAGCTGCAGCAGGTGCTCCGGGATGTTCAGTCGCCTGCATATGCGGAGCCCGCGCTCGACCTCGGCGCTCCCGAGCTTCTTGAGGTCGTCGATCCGGATATCGCGCTCGTCGCCGAGGAGGCCGAAGAAGACGCTCATCGCCAGGGGTCCGTCCCAGAGGACGGGCTGGATCGCGACGCGCAGGACGCGCAGATAGGGCGGCACAAAGACGGTCCTGAAGGGGCCCCAGGACACACAAATAAATACACACAAATAAACATATTCCTTATGTTTTCCCATATTTTCAGGGTTTTTGTCTTCCCCCCCACCTCCCATATTTTCCCACATTTTCTGAGAATCGACGATTAATTGTGTCTGTGTGTTTTTTTCCTCCTGAGGTCCCGCTGTCGGGCAGGAGCTCGCTGGCCAGGAGGCTCGTCAGAGTCTTGAAGCCGACTGCTGGGGGCCCCGTGATGGCCACCAGCTGCCCCTGCCTAATGCTCATGGACATGTTCTTGATGACCTCCCTGGAGCTTCCGGGGTAGGAGAAGTTCGGATGTCGCCAGAAGTGCCCTTGGCCCGAGGTGCCCCCAGGATCTCCGAGGAGGCCCTCGAGGCCTCCAGGGCACCCCTCGCGAGGCCCAGAGGGCCCCAGGGGGGATCCAGGATTCAGCGAAAAACGGAGGGCACCTCGGACCGGGGGCACCTCTAGCAACCCCCGAGAAGTGGACGCTCTCGAGGGTGATGTCCATCCTGTCCACCGGCTGGCCCTCGCTGGGCAGCGGCTGCTCGAGGAGCCGCTGCAGACGTGCCCTGAACTCCACGCTCTTGCCGTGCTCCAGCTTCTGCCGGCGGCTCAGGTCGGTGGGGTGGTTCATGTACTCGACCACGTGCCAGAGGGAGGGATCGTCGGCGGCGGGCCCGGGGGGGAATTTTCGGGAGCTCCGGGCTCGAGGTTCTCGGGCGGCCTCGTCGTGTCTCGGAGGTTTCTCCAGCCTCGGGATGCGCTTCCAGGGGGTGCCCGGATCGCCACGAACGGCCACCGGAGAGCCGAGCTATGACCGAAAAGCCACCAGGCGTCCGAGAGGCGGCGGACCTTCTCAGAAGGCTCGGAAGTCCTCTGGCCTTCCCTGAAGAATTTTCCGAGCCGTCCCCGAAAACACGGCAGGAGAACTTCCCAGAAGGCGCGAGGGCTTCTGAGGAGTCCGCCACCTTCTGAGAAGGCCTTCCCCTTCTCACTTCCCCCCGCCCAGGCTCGCCGCCGAGATAGGACGCCTGGATCTGCATCATGCACGAGTAGAGAGATCTCAACAGAGCGGTGAAGCCTTTCAGGGCGCTGAGGGCCGCCGTGAAGCTACCAAGATTCGTGTCCCCATGAGCGACGGAGAGACCACCGAAGAAAACAACCAAGAATTCAACCACATTGGCCACGTAGTTGAAAAACGCCAAATCATTCGCCCTTCGTGCCCCTTCTTTCACGATGCGCTGGTTCAGCAGCTGGATCCTGTCGTGGCACTGTCTCATGACCAGCGGGCGGGCGAAATAGGCCAATATCATGCTTGCACGCTCGACGCAATTGTTCATGTGGTGGACGAGAGTGATTTTGCCTTCTAAGACATCCTCCCGCAATTCTTCGGATCGTGCTTGGCGTTTCCTCACAAACCAGATCATCAGAGGCGGTACTGCGATCATGGGGGCAAGAATAAGGAATACCTGTTCATCGCCTGTGTCGGTGTATTCATTGTAAGCGAGAACGACAGTGAACAAAATAACCATCGCGATCCGGCCGATGTGCCCTACTAGAACGAAAAACTGCATGAACCCACGATCGATCAAAGCGAAAGTGTCTTCACAATAGACCAACTTAAACTCGCTGATATCGACGAGGTCCCGAAGCGACCCCTGATAATATAAGAACTTTTGCAACAAACCGTTCAATAACAATTTCCGGGCACCTCCGCTGACTTTCCAGAAGTGCCTCCGATAATCGAGGTAATGCGTCACCAAGACAGGCAGGGTGAGGCCCATCGCGTAGGTGAGGAGCCGTCGCCATGTGACAGTGAATTCGCAAGTATTGTCTAAGCTGTGCGTAAGGGTCGTGATTATTGCTTTGTTGATCGCGAGCTGGGATATGTAGATCATGTTGTCCAACTGGTCCGACAATATCCGCGCCGCCGCGACTGCGGCACACGTCGGCGCTTCCCGAGCCCTCGTGAATTGGGCCACGTGCTGCTCCTTCCGAGACTGACCCGGCCAGAACGCGGGAATCGCACGTGTCGGGACTCGCAAGACTCCCACTCGGAGCCTGCGGCTGCTACAGTCGGGGCTGATTGGAGAGGACACGCGGGAGGACACAAGACCCTTCCGAAGGCCACATTGCCATAGGAATGTAGAAGGCATGGGTCGCGATGCACAGGGCACGAAGGTATTCTTGATTTGGCGAAGTCGACCTACTCATCAACCTCGACTGTGCACCGTGCTTGACGACCGGCACGGTCTGAGCGCGCCATTGGCTCTCATCTCCCCCCCCTCTCCCCCGACCCCCGACGTCGTGTTTTTCCACAGCGTCGACCCCAAGAGGTATTTGGACCCCTTCCCCAGGACTGGTTTTTCATCCCGAGTCGCCGTTCCAGGCATGCGACGCCCTGATTTTTTCAGGGCGGCGTGGCGTCCCTGGAAATCCCGACCCTTTCCCCGGGACCGGTTTTTTGTCCCGAGTCGTGCTTTGGCGGACCCCGAGGCCCGGCGAGGGCCCCCCCTGGGGCCGAAAATAGCCAAAAACCTCCCGTCCTGATTTCCGTACGACGCGACCATGTCTGGGTTTTGAAGGCCCCGAGGCCGGGCAAGGGCCCCCCCGGAGGCCGAACACAGCGAAGCACCTCCCGTCGCGATTTTTTTTTTTTGTTTTTTTTTTTTTTGTTTTTCCACAGCGCGAGCGCTTCTGGGCCTCTCCGCGGCCGCCCTCCGCCTGCCCTCGCCCTCCAAAGCATGCCGACCTCTTGCCGTGCTGCACCCCGCCAGCGGCTCCGACGCGCCGTGCGACCGCCGGCGCCGCGACAGAAACACGTCGAGGTTTCCAGGTCGGGCATGTCCCCCACATACAGGAAAAAAAACTATGCACATACACCGATTCTGGCCAGGCCCATCCTGAGCCCAGGATCGGTGCATACGCCCTCCTACCTTGGCCAGGAAGGCATATGCACCGATCCTGGGTCAAGGATGGGCCTTGCCAGGATCGGTGCATGTGCATAGTTCCCTTTGCCCGACCACAGGCGGATTTTGGAAGAGAAATAAAAAAAGTCCAGGTGCGCTCCGGTCGGGCATGTCCCCCCCCTACAAGCGGATTTTGGCCGAGGGGTGTGCACATGCACCGGCTCTGGCCAGGCCCATGCCGAGCCCAGGATCGGGTCGTTTCCTGCCTCGGCCAAGAAGGCATCTGCACCGATCCTGGGCCTGGCCAGTATCGGCGTGTGTGCACAGTTCTCTTCGCCCGATCTTCGGGGCACTTCGGGCATAACCGACCCCGCAACACGCCGAACCGAACCGAAGCGTGCGCAGCCGGTCCGATCTGGCCAGACCGGGCGGCCGAAGCGGACTGGCCGAGCCGGACCAGACGCACCGGCCCGACCCAGGCTTACTCTCAGGGGGACGTAAGACCTGGGTACAGGGGACTCGGAAATCCTCGACGAGGTCGTCAAAAAAATGACGAGGCCGAGCCTGCATTTTGACGAGGCCTCCCGCTGCAGACATCCAACGAAACTCCTCCTCGTCAAAATCCGAGGCGCGGTCGTCAAAAAACGATGGCGAACCCGAGTCCTGGCAAACCCGGGTCTTACGCTCCCCCGATACTCGAGTTGTAAAAAATCGCGACGGGAGGTTCTCGTTAATTTTCGGCCTCCGGGGGCCCTCGCCAGCTTCGGGACGGTCAAAAAAGACTCAGGATGAAACACCGGTCTTGGGGGAAAAGGGTCCCAGAGATCGGATGTTGCGATTTCTTCAATGCGGGGTCCCTGGAAGTCTCGACCCATTCCCCAGGACCGGCTTTTCGTCTTGAGTCGTTTTTTGACGGTCCCGAGGCCTGGCGAGGCCCTCTAGAGGCCGAAAACGGTGAAAAACCTCTGTCTTGATTTTCAATGCGCTGGATCTCTGGGGTCCAGACCTGGGGGTCGACGTTGCGAAAAATCCTGGCGTCGGGGGTCTAGGGATGGCACGCCGAAGCGGACTGGACCGAACCGTACTGGGGCCACCCTGCCTCCCAGAGTGAGGCCGGATCGGCAGGAGTCGGCAGAGCTCGGCTGACACATCGCATCGGCAAGAGTCGGATCGCGCGGATTCGAAATCGGAAGCGCGAATCGGAATCTCCGCAACGAATCGGTTCGAGTCGGGACATGGGGATCGAGCAGGCCGAGTCGGAACGACCCCTTCAAAGATGGAGGGCGGCTCTTTGTCAAAACCAGGTTCTTGCCTGAGCGCCGTGTACAACTTGCAACACATGCATATCAACACATGCATATCTCTCTCTCTATATATATATATAAAATCCTGGGCGAACCGGGCCCCTGGTGAGGATTCCTTTTCTATCAAGAACGGGCTTGAGCCAAAGTTGTTGCAATCCACCTCAGCTCATGTCTCAACTCCCGCACGCACGGCATTCCTCTACCCCTGTCTTAGGGGTGAGACGGGGCAGGTACCTTTAACCTTCCCACATATGCATCCCGCACCTTTAGCACGGCACAACAAATCACTGTTGGGATTCCGCACGCCACCGAGCACGAGCATTAGGGGATACATGCACGTACGCCCCCCTCGTATACGCGTCGAATCCTCGTCCGACTCCGCTCTCATACAACTTCGATCGTCTCGGTTCGTCTTTCAACAGAAACGCACGCAAACCGCGCGTCAAATCAAGTCTCATAAGCATCATGGAATTCTCACTAGTGCCACCGAGGCTCCAAAGCCTTCAGGCGCTCCACTAACTCTGATTTGCATCCGCTCGGACTGCTGCCGATCCTGCGCAGACGCTCTAACAGCCTTGATCGAAAAATCATCAGCACATATCTTCCTACACTTAGGGGAGCCCCCCTGGCGAAACATGTGTCTAGGGGGTCTGGGATGGTACAGTGCACAACTTTCCAGTGGCAGGTGGGTCATCCTTCTTCAGACTCGAGATAGCATCAGCCTTCCCGATACGAAACCCGACGCGTATACCCGCGTTAAAGATCGAACCGCCCATCATGAGCGTGAGCATCATCCTTATCAGGCACGGAACGAAACGCTCCAATATTCGTCCAAAGTCTCTATTGTTGAAATATCACCAACCGCATCCGTGCCCTTGACCATAGTAAGCAAACCGCGTTAACAGAGAACAAGAACCTGTCGAAACTCGACTTCGCCCTTGAAAGAAGCAGCTCTCGCACTCTGAACCCTATCCGAAACCTCAAGTACATCTCCGCCATCACGATCGCGCAGACCAGCAGCCCATCGGTGTTTCTCGAACTCCGCCTCCTCCAAATGCTTGGTGCCCAAATCACTGCTGTTGGACGCTGTTGGAATCTTATACACCACCGAACGTCCTCCACGAAGCAAACCTTGAACGAGCATGCGGCGCAAGTGAACGTGCTTTCCCAAACCAAGTTTGCTCTGAGATGGCGTAGCCGCCGAACTGACTCCAGCTGCAGGCTGACCCGAGTACCTGGAAGTAGCTCCTCCAAGAACGATTTCACGAACCAGCCTTCGCACGCTCCTGAGCCCATCCCGTAGACCTCCGCCTCTGCTGACGACGTCGCTGGACTCATGTGTTCTGCTGTAGGCTGAAACCACCGTGTCGTGGAGATTCGTGTCCGCTCGCAGTGCTCTTCCTTCCGATCTTGTCGCCAGCCCAGTCGCTATCACCCTTCACCTCGGTGGCGATGTCGTCGCCGACCTCTGGCACAATGAGTTTGACAAGTTTCCTGGCACCGTTGAGATAGCGAGCAGCCC